GGTTGTTTCAGTTCAGTTGAGGCAACAATTGAAATCGATTTGTCTATTCGTGTCCCAAGATTTTATCTTCAACAAATTTTTGGGAGAGTCTTTGATCTTTGACTAAAACACATACTAGACTCATGGCTGACTCACAAAACTTCCTGTATTACAGTGTGATCATGGTTGGAAAGTCCACAGAATTTGTGTCCAGAAGAGTTTTGGAATACCTCATCACATGACAGGAATACATTACCCTGATCTCTTAAAGGGGTTTTGAACTGGCTTTTTAAATTTTATTATATTGTTGTCTGAGGTCAACTTATGACGTTCGCTTGGTTTTTGCATTTGAAAACATCAAAATGAATAAGTAATAGGCTATTTTCTACCCTAGTTTTGAGCCTAGCTCAAAAACGCTCTGGTTTTTTTTGGACGTCCACTGCTGTTTTGCGTATTGACATTTGTATTGGTTAATCGAAATCAAATCGAATTGTGAAATCTTTGTCAATACCCAGCCCTACTAGCAAGGACGTTTTCAGTTCTGAAACTTACAGGATATTCTTATAATATGATGACTTCTTAGATGTCAAAAGCTCAAGGAAAATTTGATTTCTCAGTTCATCACCCCTTTAACATGACACATTATTCTTGATAATAATAATTATAATAATTAATAATTATCAGTAGTTGAATTGAGTAATAATTAAAAGTAAGACAAAATTAAAGTTACCGGTTGCCTAGGGTAGGGTTTATATTTTTTTTTGTAATTTTTAGGTTTATATACAGCTAAGAAAAACCCTTTCTGACGATCTTAGAGGTCTTTTCTCTAATTCTTCTAACTTTATTTATTTTTGAGCATGTCAAACAAACATTTATTGTTTATATATCCAGCTTAAAAGGTTTTTTATACCTTATTTTACCTTGTTCATTTATAAGGGTCTAAAATAATTATTATTAGTGGTTAATTAATAATTGGTAAGTCAAGATTAAATAAATAACATAAAATTAAAGTGATAATTAAAAAAAGGATTATAACCAAATAAAACATTTCTAATGATCTTAGAGGCCTGTTCTCTGATTAAACAGTTTATACTCATTTTATTTAATGCACGCTCTTCAATTATTCTAAGACTTTACAGACAAATAATAATGAGTAAAAAAAAATTCACCAAAGCTGACCTAATTTTCCAGTGGTATTTACTATAGTGATTAATAGAATTAATTCAATGTTCTCGTTATAGTTTTGTTGAATGCTCATCTCTGAAATAATTGAATCTAACATCAACGTTTTTTTACAGTAAGCTCCTTAATCTCTTCAATTCCTTTAAAATGTAGTACCTCTTCTACGTAAGTGAGGCTGCAATGACATCATTCGTCTTACGTCTAGCGTTCTTGTATGTTTGACTCATTGCTAGTGGATCAGAATAACTGGAGAAACCTTCAGAAGGGCTCAGTCTGCAGTTTGTCTTCCTCCAATCCGTTTCATTGTCTTGTTTCCCAGCTGTCCGGGCATGTCAGCCTTCGTTTCCAGAGGGCTTCTTGCTCCACCAACCACTCCTCCTGACAAACCCAGACACGTCGCTTCCTGTGTATGACCTGGAACCCAAATCATTTTGGCTTTTTTCTTCTCTCTCTCTCACACTCTCCTCTATCACTGTACTTCCGGGAATTAGCTTGACTTCCTGTTATGCCGCAGTGTGTGAGGAAGCTGCTTTTCCCAGCTCGGACCCCCAGAGTGATCAGCATATGGATCTTATTTTAGGCAGAGACCTCCTGGCCCCTGAAGTCCTCCACAGGGTTATTCGTCTATTTGCTATCAACGCTTGTTTTTTTTGTTTTGAAACCATCCTGGAGTGTCACTTCTGTCCTATGAGCCTTTATATTAAACTCTTTGCAGAAGGTATATTTATGGACCCAGAAGCTAAAAACTAGAGGTACATTGTTTTGATGACTGAATTAAATTAGTATATACACTGAAATTAAATTATAGTATAAAGTTTAAGTTTATAGTATAAAAATTCTTGTGCCATTTGTTTTTGTAATGTGCATGTAAGACCTTACAATCTCGTGTCAGTGTGCATACATACAAGTACGGACAGCATGTTGTGTGACTCAGAAAGGGTTACAGCCAAGTGTTTGGCCAATTTAGCATGTGCATATGCATTAATCTATAGATTATTTGCCTAAAGTAGTGGCATTTTTAATATTTTCTTCATATTTCAAGCCATAAACAAAATCGAAAGCACGACAGAGCCACATCTTTATTACTTTGGGGGATGTTCGCATAGGACATGTTCTCTGCACTATTTTTTTATTGGTGGTCAATGTTTGGTGCTTTTTTTCCAGCATCATTGAATTTTTAGTATGTTATTTCAAGTTAAAAGTGGTTAATCTTTGAAAATATCTCTTGAGACCCTTGTTTATTTTATTTTGTTGGGATCTTTCTATGTTTTTGAATCCTTTGTGTTGCATGTGTGTTGACTTTGTTGTTAGATCTAGCCTTTTCTCTCTCAGGTGTTCTGTTTCTTGTGATGTGCAGAAAGATTTCTGACTAGGGCTGTCAAACGATTAATCGCATCCAAAATAAAAGTTTGTGTTTACATAATATATGTGGGTGCACTGTGTATAATTATTTTATATATATATATATAAATACACACACACACACAAACACATGCTTGTATATATTTAAGAAATATTTTCATGTATATAGATTTACATATAATTTATATTATATATAAATATTAATATTTTATATATAAATAATATTTTTTTCTTAAATACACATGCATGTGTGTGTATTTATGTATGCATATACAAAATAATTATGCACAGTGCACCCACATATATTATGTAAACACAAACTTTTATTTTGGATGCGATTAATCGCGATTAATCGTTTGACAGCCCTATGTTTGACTTCTGTTGGTTTTCCCTTGCTGCATCTGTGTTGAAATGATATAGATTTGGTTAGGTGATGGTTGTTTAAATCCGTGTCTGAGCAGCAGTGCTGCTGTAGTGAAGGTCAGAGCTCTGTTTTTGTGTGTGCATGGAGTGTTAATCTCACTGCAGACCCTTACAGTACATCAGCTCATTGTGACGTTCACTCACTGCAGTATCATTACGCTTCCCTTTTGTCAGGAAGAGGAGGCAAACTTGTTTGTGTGAAGTTGTTTGTCTATAAGTGGGTGAATCGTACAAAAGAAAAATCTCTGGGTCATATTATATTTCACACTGAAGTGGATAAATTGTACAAAATAATCTTACAATATGTAGAATAATTGATATTTTTGTACACACACACACAAATCCCTCACAACAGCACAAATCTGCAAAGTAAGTGTTGTCTCAAGCACACCTGATGCAACAGATCAAGGGCTTCATTAGTTGCACTAGGTTTACTTGAGTTAGAACATGTGAAATACCTGAACAGGCCAGGTTTGTTGAGTTTCGGCACTACTTCGGCACCAAAAAATTTTAAACAGGACAAAAAGGGCACCCTTTATCAGACTCGCATACAGACACAAGCCAGACTTCAGGGACAGATTAATATAGACGTGGTGTTTTGAAAATGTGCGACGATAGACAATAGAGTATCTGTTTGAATTGATGTACTCACCTCACTGGTCAACATCCTGTCCTCAAAATACAGCTCTAATGTGAGCTCATACACAGGGACAGGCCACAATTGAGGCTCTGTCTGTTACCCAATCAACGCAGAAAGAACCGAGTGTACACTCCAGTCAAGAGAAATTACCACGGTCAAACAACACACACACACACTCCCCCCCCCCCCCCCCCCCCCCCCATCAGTTTCCTCTTCTTTTTTCCCCTTGACTGCTGTCTGTCCTGTGACCTCTCTTTCTTTTGTTATCTCTGCTGGTCATGCACTGAAATGAAAATGCCTGAAACTGAAAGTACTGGTCTGAAAACCAAACTGAATGTGTTCATTTTAAATTAGCCTTTGTTTGGAATAACGGTATCGAATAACTCATTTCAGTATAGGGCTGGGTGATAAAACAATAATGATATTTATCGCAATATATTTTTCACACACAACTCAAAGTGTTCTCATATGGTCTAAGATGGTGTGCAAGATATTGCAATAAATTACCTTTTAAAACTTTGATTTTTTTGGCAGACAAATGTAATATTTCTGATTTTTATCTCTAGTTTAGAGATACAAATACAGCTTTGGTGAGCATTGTTTCAAAAGCATTAATAAATCTTACTGACCCCAAACTTTTGAGCAGTACTGTAGATCATTGCCCAGAATGGTCTGTGATATTTGTACAGAAATGTATATTTTCAGATGTTTCTCTTGTATGATAGAGAATTCATCTGATGTGCTACATAAGATAGACTTGTATGTTTTGTGCAAGCATTTGATTGTGTTAATAGCCAAAAGTAAGTTTGAACAAAGTAGATTAAGTTTGCCATTTGGATTTTAAAAACAGCTAGAAAATGCAAAAATAAACTGAATATGCAGTCACTCACATTTAACTTCATTTAGCCACACTTCTTTAGGCTTTTAGACATTGTGCTCGTCTGAAGATGTGTTTAAACAACTGTTGAACACAACCTCTTTCCCAACTATATATCATCGGTCAACAGCTGCTGTTTACTTGAGTAAAACTGAACCATTTAATCTGCTTTTTTACCGTCAGTGAAGCTGTTATTGGATGTCAAAGCCATTTTTGGTGAAAATCTTCAGCCCGTTTTCTCTCAGGCAAAAACCAAAAATGATTTCCTATTTCTACCTCACTCTTCATCTCTGCCTCTCACTGCATATCTGCTTAGTGTGACAATCAAATGTTGACGACAATCCTATCGAATCAGAATTACTTGAACTTGAGCTCTCATAATGATATTATTAAAGCAGTGCTCTGCAAACCTCCCATCTGTGCGTTTAAGTTTAACTTTCATTACTGATCCCAGGTGAAGAACTGTGGTCTGGAATTGTCACAAAAAAAAGAGAAACACTGGCCTAAACAAATTTATTTCTTTCTCTCCCTTTGTAGTCTCACTCCGACTCAAAGCCCGGAGGGCGATGCATCATGCCCCTCTCCACAGCAGACGAGCAGCCCCACATCGGCTGCTACAGGCTCCTGAAAACCATCGGCAAAGGCAACTTCGCCAAGGTCAAACTGGCCAAGCATGTCCTCACTAGCAAAGAGGTGAGGATTGAGTTTGTTTAACCCCCAAAGAAAAATATGACGAGGTAAAAACCGTTGGCTGTTTAATTGGCATGTTATTTGTCAGATGAGTGGAATGTCTTTGAATCATTTGTCTATATCTCGTTGTAGTCCCATTCGAGTCGTTTTTGCAGACATTAAACTTCCTGATTTTTAAAAGACGATATCTCTGCTTATGTTGAACTTTTAGTGCAGCAACTTTGCCGATACTGTTCATGCACCAACAGCAACATTACACACTGTTTAAAATAAAAAAAGTGAAATCACAACCTCTGCTTACGATCTACTGTAAGCTCACATTCACGTCTACCGCCATCCAATCAACTTCTAGCAAATGGAATCAAGTCTTCGCCCAATGTTTGTTTGTTTGAATAATTTTTCACATTTCACAAGAAATGATCTATTGCTGCTTCCGTTACATCACAAATTTAAGGTGCTTTATTACTAAAATCCACATGAAAAGTAGGGATGCACCGATCCGATACTCAGAATCGGTATCAGCTCCGATACTGCCATTTTTGCCGGATCGGGTATCAATCAGAGAAGGCTGATCCAAATCCGATACTATTCTGTGTTTTTTTTTTAAGCCCCACAAAAGGCACAAAAACATTTTTAAGTGCCATAAATTTTTTTGCACTTTATTATAAGTTTTCTGAAGCCATTATGTGAGATAGAAATTAATATTTAAGTCATTTAATTCAAGATCACGTAAACTTTTCCCTCCGCTGCAGCTGTCAGTCATTTTCCATTCAGCATTAAACAGCGCGTCATGTTCGGTTATAGTCAACGATGAAACTATCTTAGATGATTCAATGTTAATATTATTATACTTGATTGTAAGGCAAGGCAAGTTTATTGATATAGCACATTTCATACACAATGGTAATTCAAAGTGCTTTACATAGAAGAAATTAAAATAATCAAAAGAAATCAGAATAATTAAAACAGTTTAGAATAAAAAAATACTGTAAATAATTAAAACAGTAGATAAATGGTTTCACATAAAGCAACTTTATCTTGCTGGACTTTATTACTGTAACTTAATCTCCCAGACCCCCTGATTTCGAACCCTGTTTTGAGACTTATTTTGTAGCGTTTTTATAAGCCGTTTGATCAGTTAAAGGGCCATAAAAACCGGTTACACTCAGTGTGGATGAATCGCATTTGTGTCGAAGACAGAAACTCTTACAAAGGAAAAACAAACACTTTTTTAATCATTAATGCATCTCTAACTTTAAGTAATCTCACTGTTTGAAGCGCCTGTCAGAGAAAATCAATGTGCGCTGTCATGAATAATTAAGCAAGGCATCTTCTCATAGGATAAATAAACGGAGACACCGAGGAGGAGTCATCAATATAATAATACACGAAGATGAATTTAAACCTGGAAGTTGAAAATAGCGCAAAAAGGTTTAAAATGAACTAGTTTTCTCCTACAATCAAAATTGACGGATGGTAACATTTACTTATGATGTTCAACACTCGTAACTCTGTTAAAATATCAGTAAATTTGATTTAGGGTTTTATGCTACAGCACCCTTTACATCCGGCTTGTTTTTGGATCCCCTCGCCTGCTAATATAGGACTGCATGGTGTCAGACACTGATAAAGCACATGATGGAAGAGAAGAGGGGGACAAAGATGAAAACTGTGGGTTTGTGTGTGCGTGTGTGTGCACTCGCTGCAGGAGTAATCTCAATGCGCCGTGAATTGTTTCCTGATGATGTGAGATTGTGATCTGTATAAATGCAGACCAAAGCTGATGTGTGCCTTCTGCCTCAAGGCTTTTCCTTGCGGTTTTCCTAACTGAACTCTTTACCCTCTCGATCAGGTGGCGGTGAAAATCATAGACAAGACTCAGCTCAATTCCTCCAGTCTTCAAAAGGTGAGTGTGGCCTTTCCTCAAGGTTGATGAGGTCAGAAAGTAATTTCAGAAGTTTACTGGTAAATTTGTTTTGTTTTTTAACTCTCCCACCCCTGTTAAGTTATCTCTCTTCCTGTTGCCTTGTGACTTTCAAAACGCAAAGCCTTTTCTCCATAGGGCCCATGGCAGATAATTATAGGAAATTAGGCTCAAATACTTCCTGAAGTAAAGGGTTGGTTGGCTTAGTTCGGTGGTGGGGTGGGGGTGTTCTTAACCACATCTTACTCATGTGCACAAGCTTGAAATATTTATGCTCTGTGAAGGACAAACACATCGTCTGTTTGCAGCACATTGACATCTTCTGTCTCCTTTTTCAGCTATTTCGGGAAGTGAGGATCATGAAGGTCTTGAATCACCCAAATATCGGTGAGCTTAACTGACAGACAAATCGCCCTTAAGTCTCTCAGCTTGAATTCGTTTTCCGGTTTTGGCAGTACCCACTGTTTTTTTTCCCCCTTTTTTTGGGTTCATTAATCCTTGTCCAAATGTCAGTGTTTTTCTGTGCAACTGGATTTGGTGAGCGTAAAACCTCTTGGGAATAACCCAAATCAAAATGATTTTTAGTCTTTTAAGAATGCTTAATATTGCAAATAAAGGAAAGCTAATTGTTTATGTGAGAATTGAGAACAAATTGTTCTTACATTCCTTTTTTCCCCTCTTCTGTCCTCATGTAGTGAAGTTATTCGAAGTGATTGAGACCGAAAAGACACTCTACCTGGTGATGGAATATGCCAGCGGAGGTCAGAGCTCTCCCGAACCCATTTTAACCTCTTTTTTTTTTAACCCTGTTACATCCCGTACTGTTTTTATTCTCTCTAGTATGTACTATTGGCGCTTTTCCACTGCATGATACGGTACGGCTCACTTGTGACGCTTTTCCACTGCATGGTACTGCTTGTTTTAAATGGGACCACCTCTGTTGAGGTTCCAAGCGTACCGTATCGATACTAAAATGTCACATGAAAACACTGCAGATCACTGATCCTGAAGTTTTGAAAACTTCCAAAAAATGAATGGCTGAATCAGGGTCAGTGGACGAAGTGCAGACATGAGTGCAGTAACCTCTAGTTACTGTAGACAGGTTTTGTCTCTCAGTCTATAGTTCTGATCACTGTCCCCCATTAAATACTAAAATTTATCCCGGTACTATATCTTCATTCTTCAAATTTCAGAGCCTGACCCGGATTAAACAGCGCTGCTGTTCAGCACAGTTCAGTGATTTAGGCAGTGTGCCTTGAAGTGTAAAAATGAATGCATCTATGCGTGAGACTCTTTAAAAGCCTTCTGTAATGGATCTAAATCATATCTAACTGGGATTTTAACAAAGTTTAAGTAATTTGCACTTTCTATGGCACAGTTTAAGTATGAAATGTATTTTTACAAACATTAAGATCATCAGACGACAGCTGCAAAAACATCCCACTGCAGACTCAACATTCCTTAGGAAACACTGACACCCACATATGCAACTTTGTATGTCATGCAAACAAATTTTAGATCCCTGCATGTCATGAAAATTATCAATATTGAATTAATGATAGCTCTAGTTTAGTTTAATCAGCCTCCTATTTGTTTCCCAAGGTTTCAATTTATAGTAAACGCACAAAAGCCAGCTTTTTGTTTTGTGTAGCTTCCCAATTTGTGAGTCTGTTTCTTTTATAATCGTTACTGTTGTTCCTCTTCTTGGTTTGCAGGTGAGGTGTTTGATTACCTCGTAGCCCACGGCAGAATGAAAGAGAAAGAGGCCCGAGCCAAATTTAGACAGGTGAGATGCTGTGCATGTTTTGTTTTTTATTCAATCACTTGTGCATATTTGATATTGCTTTTGTATGAATACAAAGCACCATATGAGCTGTAAACACATATGTGGTGTTTGAATTTTTCTGTATTTAAAGAATCATTAAAAAAAAAAAAAATAAATAAATAACACCGTTCACTTGATGGTATGGTTGGTCCTATCACAAGAAGACAGACTTCAGTTTTATTTAAAATCATCAAACAAATGGTTTTAACTGTCAGTGTGTGTGTATAAGCTATTTAAGTACCTATTTTTTGTGTGTGTGTGGGCAGATTGTGTCAGCAGTGCAGTACTGTCACCAGAAGTGCATTGTCCACAGAGACCTCAAGGTAAACAAGATACATTTATTTTCTCACTGTCTTTAGCTCTCTAGTCTTCTATACTGATGCAAGTTGGTTTCATCTCTAAATATGTAATCGCTAAAGATCCTTCCTTGCTTGCAGGCAGAAAACCTGCTCCTGGATGCAGACATGAATATAAAAATCGCAGATTTCGGCTTTAGTAACGAGTTCACACTGGGCAACAAGTTGGATACTTTTTGTGGCAGCCCTCCATATGCTGCGCCCGAGCTCTTTCAAGGGAAGAAGTACGACGGGCCTGAGGTGGATGTCTGGAGTCTTGGGGTCATACTGTATACACTGGTCAGTGGTTCTTTGCCGTTCGATGGACAGAACCTAAAGGTGAGCACAGAGAAATGGGAGTAAAAGGTCAACAGCTTTGCATTATATTCTGAATATTTGTGTTCTGGTGTTCTCAGGAGCTGCGAGAACGCGTTTTGAGGGGCAAGTACAGGATTCCCTTCTATATGTCGACCGACTGTGAGAACTTACTGAAGAAATTCCTCATACTCAACCCAACCAAGAGAGGGAGTCTTGAGGTTTGTACAGGCATAAATACTTGTGCTATCTTGTGTCTTAACTTTTAACTATTGGTGTGGAGTCTGGTCTACATTGCAGCTTATTCGGAGCAAGAATATATTTGTGTTTCTTAGGGATTGATATTTTTATGAAAACATAATACCTTTGCCCTAGACTTTCAATTAGCGGTCAACTGATTCATCGGTTTTGTCGATTAATCGGCACCGATAGGTGGCAACTATCGTTATCGGCAAAATCCACACCGATAATTTTTCCGGGTTGTGTCCATTGCTGGAGCGGCTGAGAAGTGCGCGCGGCCATTATCCAGTATGAGACCGCTGAGAAGCGACTGCTGGCATTATACAGAGCGAGAGCGGCCTCTAGAGGACAAATAACAAACTATCACTGGCTGTGTTGTTTACGATAACACCTGAGGCAGCGCGCTGAGAACATGCAGCACAGAGAGCGCTGACACTTCAGACGCAGCATTTAAAACACCGTTTTTACGGACTTGCAATGTGTTACCTTTGAAATGTATGTATGTTTCTAGGTTATAGCTAACAAAATCTGTGATATTTTGATGTTTAAATTATTTTCTGTATAAAGTTATAATATATTCATATTTTTATATTTATTTAATTTAGCACATTTCAGTTCAGCACTGTTTTATTGTGAGTATTATATTTGTTTATAATTCAGTATCAATTTTAAAAAATATCGGTTGAATTATAGTTTATCGGCACCTCTACTTTCAATCTTAAAATATGAAAGTCTATCAAAAATGAATTACTTTGTTTAAAACCAATAAACAAAACAAAATGTAAAATAATAAACCATTACCAAATGAATAAATCAAATGAGACATGACAAAGAAAAGTTCTTGAAAAATTTCCAATCAGATGGTAACTTTGTCCATATGCGAAAACATTTTTTAAAAATAATTTATGAAAATATAAAATCTAAAAAATAAAAAGTACACATGGTATTTACATAAAATACTGTGTATGAATGAGCCTTTTAAATATACTATGTAAGATTAAATACCTATGAATCTCTCTGTGAACTGTGGTAAATCCAGTTGTTTTTGTGCAGCTACCTGGTAAACACAATGGACTGATTTAAACCTTTATTCTTGGAAATTACATAAAAGCCAGCCATTTAGGTCTGGTGATTTTTAGCCAGCTTTTGCTATTTTTGTGTGCAATTTGCATCAGGCTGTTCATGAAGGGTCTGTGGGCGTATATTCTGAGGCTTAGACTCTGCATAAACAACTGTTTGCAGATTGATATGTTTTTGATGGAGTGATTCAGCGTTTTAGCACTGTGTGATGTGATTTAGAAGTGCTGCTCTCAGTTGACTATCTGTGCATCCTCTTAATAAAGGCCAACTCTTTTTGCATTGCGTTACTCCCCTCCTAATATAATGTCTTCACTTTTGTGCCCTTCCTTTTTGTTTGCACTCAGCAGCAGATCATGAAGGACCGATGGATGAATGTGGGCCATGAGGATGAAGAGATGAAGCCCTACATCGAACCCCAACCTGACTACAAGGACCCTAAGAGGACAGGTCAGCACTCCATCAGTGCAGCGGGTTGGAAGAGAGGTGGGGCAGACGTGGCCCGGGGCTTTGGTGGTGGGTGGGATTTGAGACAGAGATTGGTTATGATTGGGTAACAAATCTTGGTGATGGAACTGGATCTAAATTCCTTACAGCAGCTCATCTGAGCATCTTTATTTGTGAGTTAAAGCAACGATTGATTCTTCCTGCTTTCTAACGCTTTCAAATTTCCTGTTTTCTCGTCTCTTTATGGTTGTTGTTTGAAAATGGTTTGCATTATTATTGTTTATTTTGATAGAATTTTTTCAAAAATCAATACATTTAGTTATTGATTTAGTACATAAATGATACCCTAAATTATATTGCCTTTCTAATGAGTCATACTTTTTTGATAAGTGGAAGACTTTGACTTTTTTGAAGGAATCTCAGTGTGACCAGAATATTGGGACATGGGTGATGGGCTTGGTCCAGTAATAATCTCCCCACCCAAACATCGAACAACTTAGAATGCACACATTGTGACAATAAGTTATGCTTGAGGAATATATATGTATATATATATATATATATATATATATTTTCAGCATGTTGTAAAACTTGTAAGCTATTTTTCCTACTTATTTAACCATTTGGTCTGTGTCCTTAGATATTATGCTGCGAATGGGATACTCTTTAGAGGAGATACAAGACGCCCTTATTAAACAAAAATACAATGATGTCATGGCAACTTACTTATTACTGGACTATAGGAACTCAGAGGTATGTTACTCTAAATATCTTGTTTCCTTGTTATTAACCTTTATATTGTAATTATGCAGATTTGAAGAGATGAGCACATAAATGTTAAATGCTTGTTGTCTTGATACCTTTTTTTTTTATCTCTCCCTCCTAACAGGATGAACCATCAATAAAGCACCGCCTAAGCACTGACCTCACTAACAACTCCCATTCACCTTCTCAGAAGGGACAACGCAGCACCTCCAATCAAAAGTCCCGCAGATCCACAGACCAAAGTAAGCATCATTCTGCTGGTCATTAGCCACAATAAACATTGGCTCTCTTGGTTTATACATCTCAAACATTTTCTCTTTCTACCACAGGCTCCTCTGTTTCCTCCAAGCGACCTCAGGGCGAAAGTAAGCACATCGCCAGTTCAAGCAGCTCCAGTAAAGTCCCTCCCAGCCCGCTGATCTCCGGAGAACATAAGAAAACTCCTACCCCTTCCACTGTGAGTACAGAGCCCCCTGAAGAGTGATGGGCAACCGGGTTGTGAGTTAACGTCAATGATTTCTGTCTGCTCTCCTTGTGCCATATAGAACAGCATCCTATCCTCAGGCACCAGCCGCAGCAGGAACTCTCCAATCACTGAGAGGGCCACTCTGGGTGTACAGAACGGCAAGGACAGGTACTGCCACATTCCTCTTTATGCAGAGTTTTCCTTTCCAGCCACGGATCACATGGAAGAGCCAAAAATCAAACTCATTTTCACAAAGTAGACTGGTGTTAAAAGTAGTGTATGCGCGTATGTGTATATTTAGACTTGGAAAGCTTCTCTGCTCTCGACTCATTCTGTCAGGCTGTTGCCCTGCCAGCATGGGAAACATAATCCTGTTATGCACACACATACATTCACACATTGACAATTGCACACATTTGAGCGCTGCACCAAGCTGAAATCTGTTCCGCTAGATTTGTGACGCCTTCGGAAACTTAGAATTAGTCCAAAGATTAAAAGAGAGTTGAAGGCTTGACGCCTTGGGTTTCTTTTTAATACAATACAATAATATTCCAGGTTATTTTCAACTTAATGTATGTTAGTGGCATGCTAGTGCATGGGCAATTGTTTTGCTATACACTTGAAATGAATCAATGAATAAAAGATCTCAATAATAAGTGTATAACCATAAAACTTTTATGTTAATAGGTTTTTGTCCACTATGATTTTTTTATTTTTAAGTATCTTGTGCTCATTAAGATTTTTATTAATCAAAAATACAATAAAACATTGTTAATTTTGTGAAATATGATCAGTTTAAAATGAACTACTTTCTGTAATTTATTATGATGGCAAAGCTGAATTTTCAGCATCTCTTCTCCAGTCTTCAATGTTACACGATCCTTCAGAAATCATTCTTCTAATATGCTGATTTGTTTCACAAGAAATGTTTACTAAAATTTAAAAGAGTTGTGCTGGTTAATATTTGTGTAGAAAACGTTGATACGTTTTTCTTTAGGTTTCGTTGAATAGAAAATTCAGGAGAACAGCATTTATTTGAAATTGAGATTTTTTTTATTTACATTATAAATGTCTTTACTGATCCGTGATCAATTTATAAATAAATTATTGATATTTTTTTTCTGACCGCAACCTTAAACTGTAGTATGTTAGCATAAGACTGCTGTCTTAGAATCTCTTACAGACCTTTCTAAAGTTACATCCTTATATCTTTCAATCCATAATATGACCAACTAAACAGTCAGTAAACACACAAGTTTTGCTCCACCCACTGGAATTATGATGATGACTAGATTTCCATCCACCTATAAAAATTATTAGGATAACTGTTCAGTTCAAGCAGACAATGTAAGTGCTTTTATAAGCTGCACATGTCCTCTTAAACCCTCTGGGCAGCATCCCAACTATTGTAACTCCATTAGTTAATTTTTACACACTCAGGAACAAGTGAGAATTGTTGTCTGAGGTAATCAACAGAGTGCCACAGATGCTGTCGATAAAGCCTATGTTGTAAACCACCACTCTCTAATGGTTCCCTTGTTGTGGATTCCAGCAGTCAGAGCACTGCAGACTAAAGATGTATTTTACCAAATTGATACTGAAATTAAAAAAGTCTGTTTCATTATGGTATCGAGATTTCAGATTAGCAGATTGAAAAGTGAAAACTACTTAACTCCTAATTTATGGACTACATACTTTGAATTTGACTACCTTCTTGGAATTGATTGACTGCTTGTGTACAGAATTACAGTTGAATTTGTTAAAGGAGAACTCTGGTCAATTTTAACATTGAGCTCATTTTTTGTACATTTGGAGTGCTGTCAGTGCAGACAAAAAATACAAAAATTGGTGTTTCCTACCCCGTGTTATCCTCTTTTTATAATTTGCACCCTGTTGACTTCAATGGGGCAAGTTCTAAACCTGCTTTTAGCCTCTTAACATCCTTGATTTGTCATTACAAGTTCACAGCCATGTGAGTCGGGTTATTAAGAGTGACCACGGTCAATCTGACTGCAGTAGATGTGAAAGATGCTCATAAAAATGATGTTAAATCAGCCAGCTCACATACCCGTATTTACTTCCTGTTTTCGGTCGAAGTCCACAGTAGCGACAATCGACTACGGTGAACTTCGGCCGAAAACAGGTCTGTACTGACAGCACTCCAAATGTAAAAAAAAAATGAACTTAATGTTAAAATTGACCAGAGTTCTCCTTTAATGTCACAGTTCCCACAGTCATGTAAAACCCAGAAATACTGAGACATTTTTGAATTGATGTTTACATTCCAGTAATGGAGTAGAGAAAAAAATCATTACATTTATTGAAAATTTGTAGAAATATATTTTTTAATTTACTGTTTAGTTTTGCTCTGCTCTAAAGTATTTCATTGCTTAGTTTGAGTACATTATGACGTATCGGTACATCGACCTACTGAATTTCACTGCAAATACTGAGACACACTGGCGTATTACCACTGATTGGTATGTGGTCAGTCTCATCCCTTAATCTGGAATTAGTGATTTTTGCCTGACCCAAATAATCAGGTTACCGAGAGAAGAGATGTGGGAAACCGAAAACAGCAGCCTTGTTAAATGCATGTTTAATTTAGCTTGAAGTGACAAGCCGCAGCACAGTCAAGAATGCTGACGCCGAAAGAGTATTATATGTGTGTGCAAGGTCAGTTGCAGGGAAGCAAATGAGAATACGTAAATTTAGTTTATGCGAGTAGCTTTTAAAAGCACATCATGTCCTTTAGGCTTATACTGTCAGACGCTTCTTATCATCATCACTTATTATCACATCTCATTTCAAATTCACTCGATGAACAGAGACAGAGCAAGCTTTCCACTGATAATGCAAGTTTGATCTGTATAGATCTAAAAATGGACTAAAACAAAGCCCAAACCTGCATTATCGCAACGCAGTGTTGTATTTTTATCTCCTGGTGTGTGTGTGTGTGCTTTTGTCTAATTCCATCACTTTCTCAACCCTCATCCCATCTTTGCTGAATCTGCTTTATAACCTCACCCATACCTCTCTCCACTCTGTACGTGGGGATGTTCGTACGTGGGGGCTGTTATTCATCTTTCCCCCAGCCTGAACACTCCAGGGTCCCGCACCTCCACCGCCTCAGCGGCCGCGGTGCTCGCCGCGTCATCCCGCACCCGCCACCACAAGTCCTTGTCCACCTCCGCCCACCCCAGCCCCTCAGACCTCCATGCACATCGCCCCAGGCAAGTGGCAGCAAACCTCCAAGCTTTTCCGAAGGGGGTTTCGACTTCAAGAACTAGTGACGAGTAAAGTCGTGTGATTACTTTCTGAAGTCGTCAAGCAAAGAGATGGGAACGCCCTGAACATTTTTATTAAACCCTGTCTACTTTTCTCTCACTCGTTGTCCACAATAATAAAACCGTCTCACTCGCCATTCCACTTTCCCCTCCATGTAAACACACGTTGTCTACGTCACATACCTGCCAGCTCATTCCTTTCTAACCCATAATTCACATGCATGCTTTAACTAGATGTCTGTTTTTTTCATGCAAGATCCTCCTTCACTTATGCATGTATTGTTGTCGCATTGCTTGGTGTCTTTAGGTCTGCTTCCCCATCCTTCTCCACCCCTTCTTTTTTGCAGACAAACTAGACGGTGCACTGACATCTTCTAAAACCTGTCTCACTGCATGTTCCATTTTGGAACTGGCACTGACACTTGTATGCATGCTAAAAGGGTTTTGTCTTCCTCTGTAAAGAGGTTTTTTGTTGTTGTCTGAGTCTTGTTATTTGTTGGTCATAGCTGCATTACTATTAAGTTCATTATTACTCCAGTCTTCAGTGTCACATGATCCTTCAGAAATCACTCTAATATTCTGATTTGCTCAAGAAAACTTATCACAGTTGAAAACAAATGTTTTTGTAGAATATTCTTTTATTCTAACGCTGCCTTCACACTGGCAGTTTAAATCAGCTCCGTAATACGCAATACGTTCCCAACGGACGTCGTACTACACAGTGAAAAGCGTCGGACGCGGGTAGAACAAAAATGGCGGAGAGATTAAAGTTTGATTCTGTCAGTTCTGTATGATCTCTCTCTGATTAGGGTTATGCTGCGTGAGGAAAGTTGCTCAGGACGTTGACATGTCAGGTCGGCTAAAAAATGTGATATAGTGGTCAATAGTTCAATGTCTACCTTCTAATTGCCCTTATAAACGTTAGAAAGTCATGAAAATAAAAAATGACATGACAACTTATCGTTATAAAATCATTATTTATTTTATTAAAAGTTAATAATTCAGGTTTGTTTATCAGTACCATAGCAACGCTCAACTTCCGCTGGAATTGTCGGATAGGAACCGTCCGTATCTTTTCGCAAGAGTTCAAATTTTTGAACGCATCCGGATGACCAACGGACACGATTTTCTTCGCACCGCACTCGGTCGGACCCGTTTCGGACCCATTCGCATGCGGTCTGCAAATCTCCATAGGAAATTAATGACTTCCGGTCGTTTCGCAGCCGCATCGGAGCTGATTTCAACTGCCAGTGTGAAGGCGGCGTAATTCAAGATTATTTGAATAAAAAGTTCAAAAGAGCAGTAACAATTTGAAATGGAAATCTTTGAAAACATCATAAATGTCTTTTAGTTTTAATATATATATATATATATATATATATAATTGACCCCAAAACTTTAATCTGTAGTGATTTATGATGCTACAAGTACATTTTTGAATCAAAACATTGTAAAAAATATAAAAAATGTTGTTCATTTTGAAATTTCCTGAAGATTACATTTAACTGTTATTAAATTCAATTTGTCTAAGTTAAGGTATAACTTCAAGGGAGCATTGGATTACTATGTAATCTGAATGTGCTGCACCTGTTAAATATATTGTATTGGCTGATATTGTGTATAATATTGACCAATATATGGTATAGTGATGCAGAGGTTACACACTTTACCTTTAACTATTACCTATTGTATGGTTTTGTAAAATAAAAATAAGCCAATGTGGTCCTCATGAGATTTAAGCCTGTGGATTGTCACATGTCTGGCCGTGGTACAGAAAGGGCTGATGGTGGAATTATACTTTTCTTTCACACGCATGTGCATGCTTGGATTTTATTCCATCACATTTTAAAATCAATCTCAAATTAAATGTTGGTTCATTTCCACAAGGATAATTTGTCTGTCATCAGTGCATTGGCAGCAAGAGCTACAGTTGTTAGCGTAATGAAATAGCCTGTTCTTTTAATGCCTGATTATTGAAGCTGCATGTTGAAAACAAGTGGCTTATATTTACTGATTTTAATGTATGCTAAAATGGAGTTGAATAAGGTATTAACCAATTCTCTTTTCACCAAAAAAACAGCACAGCCAATCAGAGAGCACCAGTTGTGTCCCCCTCAGCTCAGAACATTTCCTCAATGGCTGACCGTACCAACTTCCCCAGAGGGGTGACTAGCAGAAGCACTTTCCACGCTGGCCAGCAAAGAGCCACACGAGACCAGCAAGCCTCGGCGTACAACGACCCCTCTGCCTCCCCCTCCCTTTCCCATGGCAACAGCCAGGTGCGCCGTCCCGGGACGGGTATCTTCAGCAAGTTTACTTCCAAATTTGTACGCAGGTGAGTTTATGATCGGTCCACATGACAACACTGTTATTTGCAATTGTGAAATATTGAGTTCAGCAATTCACATGCACACGTTTTTATTACTGTCACCAGTGCTCCCCTCTTTCAGGATGAAATGGTTTGGACTGGCACTGTTTTTTATCTCTATGATCATGAACTCAAACAAAGGGCTGCTGGAGCAGAGATGTTTTAAGTGTGAGAGATGCTAACTGATGGATAACTAACATTAAATCCAGGGTTCCCACTGTCAGGGAATACCTAGAAATATATTAGGGAACAATTTCCATGCCTAGAAAAGTCATGGAGATTCACTACATCTAATTCTGTTTTTGTAGTTATGCTAATTTAATTGCTTAATCTATAATAATAATAAAAAAAAAATGTATCCGGTAATCAGAAATTATTTGTAAAGTCCTTGAACTACATTGGCCAAACTGTGTGGTAACCCTGCAGACCTGACCCCGATCTAACATCCATCATTCATGCAATGCATTTACAATTCACAATTTCTTCAGCGATCATAAATGGCCCTAACTTAATAAATTGCAATTCTTTAATCTGACTTTAAACAGCAGTGCCCCCCCCCCCCCCAGCTAACACTAAAGCTCAAAACAACCTTTCATTGGTTTCATAAAGAACTCTTTTTAAAAACTTTTCATCTCTTAGCCAAACAGGAAGTATTTAATTGAGAGATTTTTCAATGGTTCATGGACATGTGAGAAACTCTTTATTTTCCCTTTTTTTCTCTAATTTGTTTTTTTGTAGAAATCTCTCATTCAGATTTCCCAGAAGGTAGGCAATAACACTACCCTTGCGTTTTAAGACAATGTCTTTTTCCTGTGCTCCATATTCCTTCTGTGATGTCTTGTCAACATTTATTATTGTTCTATACGCATATCTTTTCATATTATATTTTTACTAATGCTCTGCGTTCATTGCCTGACTCACTCCTCCGCCAGCCCTCTTTTCTTTCTTGTCTTACCTCGGTGAATAACACGTCCCTTACGCATTACATCCCGTTCCTCTTCTCATATGAACTCGTGGAGTCCGGTCATGCACATTGTTCCGCAGATCTTGTGAATGGTCTTCCTGTGCCCTTGTCTGTACTGTCATCATGCAACATGGCTACACTCCTACAATGCAGTTAAATGACAGTGTGATTCACTCTCCAAGTTTGCCAGGTGTTTGTAGATTTTCTGATTAGACCATTGGACAAGGACTAAACTTGATAAAACCCTTTACTGAATGATTTTTATGCTCAGTTAATTTAATGATTCTACTTTAAATAAATGTACAGCTACATCTACAGTGCCTAGGAAAAAAGAATTGTAAGCTTGCGCTCTAAATTTAAAGTGATGAAAGAGAAAGACAGGGTTTTGCTATAAATAGACAAAACACATCTTGCCATTGCAATGTTCACAACAAACACACAGCGTGACAATTGTAGTCTGATTTATGAACAAATGACCCATGAACTGATCCATTTGAATTAGATTAAAATATTAAAATAGACTCTGCTGTTCTTTTAATCATTTGAATTAGATTAAAACATTAAAATAGACTCTGCTGTTCTTGACTTAGTAAAAAGCAAGTTTTGTCATGTTCAACTCCAAATTTACTGTTATTTAAATGGGTTGCTTGAACTCTAGCTAGCTCACCCTCATGTCGTTCCAAATCCATAACGACCGAAGTTCATCTTCAAATCACAAATGAAGATATTTTTAATAAAATTGAGCAATTTAGTCCAAATCTTCTACAGAGACACGTTTGTGTTATATGATGAACTGATTTCATTTAGACTTTTTGATCATTGACATTAATCAATGCACGTACATGGAGAACGAGTATGGTAAAGGGAAGCTTAAATGTGCTTGCTGCACAAGAACGGACCTTGTCGCTTCTGCAGAAGCTCAAATATGCTTGCATGACTTTCGAGAACAAACCTCATTGGTTCTTGTGCATTAAGCAAATACTTTTGAGCTTTACCATATTAAAAAAATTAAACCACAAAGCAAAAGGAGTGACAATGGCATATTAGCATGATAAGAAACAGCTTTCTTGTTGGTTTGAAAAAGCGACCTCTAGCGGAGAAACTTGCATATGCGCCTTTAATAATACTTTTATTATTGTATTAATAAAGTGTTGTTGTTGTTAAATTGTATAATGCGATTATTACAATACTTAGGTAAGTGGGCCAAGAATTGTTAAAATCCTTTTTCTTATCCATTTTGTTGACCCCTCAAACAGATGTTAAATATTACAAGTACTAGACACCAAATTCTTTCTGATTTCTATTCTGTTGATGGGACCTAAACACTCACCCAAAGCGTTACATTTGATTTTGAATAGGTTGGGTAAGTTCATGGTTTGTAGAGACCCTGGCTGGGTAAATAGAGGATGACAGTTGTATTTTCATGGTGAGGGTTGTATAGGGTGACTCCTGCTTCTCTCCTCTTACAGTCTACTGCTTATTCTTATATGGCTGCACTAAAACAGACGTGCTGCTTTTGTTCCTTCGTTCTCGTGCTGCGGTGTTTTGGAGGTGGCTGGTCTCCCTGTCCAACTTTATCTTTCAAAACACACCTCCCTCAAGTCACTTGTTCAGCTGTACGAAATGCACATGAGTAGACAAAAATATTGGGCTATGATTTCCATAAAATGTCAGCCACAGATGCACATTTTTCTAGTTCATTTTTGACAGACAAGCTTGGGACTCCTGGTAGTTTTGCACTAGACACTACTCTGAATCATGCAGTTGGGTTTTAATAAGCATTTTTCATTCCTTTGGGTTTTCTTTTTAATGATGCTCTTACATAACCAGACTGCAGATGTACACAAAGGAAATCTGAACTTTTTTGTTTTGACAGTTTTTGTCACATCAGATATTCTCACCCTTTTGAATATGGATATATATATATATATATATATATATATATATATATATATATATATATATATATATATATATCCTTATTTTGGTCTACTAGCTCTTGTCTGCTCAATTGTGCACTTCTATGCTGAGTACAGAGTGGCTTATGCGAGTGTGTGTTGATCCTAAGGTTCAGAGTTTAAAAGAAAGATTTTGTCCAGAAGTTGGTGAAGGGACTGTAAAAAGATGCTTTATGGCTTTTGCTAAAAAAAAAAAAAAGTCATTTTACTGATTGAAACAGGATATTAATGGTGATAAGTTATTGATAATGAAATCTACATAAACAGGACTAATACTTAGCTAGCACCAATAGGAACTTGAATTGAGGGACTAAACTTGTTGGTTTTCTTTGAGGAGTCCGTATGAGGGAGAGGGTCGAGATGAGGCCAGCAGGTGAGGACAACAACTAATAATAAAAATCTCCAAAAGTGTACTGCTCAAATCACTGAATCATTACTTTAAACTTTAAAAAAAAAGAATGTGTCATGTTTCAATGGAGTCATTTAAAGATTAAACTTTTTTTTCTTTTTCTTTTTTTTTTTTTAATAATTGGACAATTTCTAACAATCAAATGTACACCACTGTTCAAAAGAGTCGGTACGATTTTTTTAATGCTTTTGAAAATCTAATTCTCACCAAGGCTGCATTTATTTGATCAAAAACAATGGAACGGTAACATTATGAAATGTTTTAACAATTTAAAACAATAAAATGCTTTCTATTTTAAAATGTAATTTATTCATATGATGGCAAAACTGAATTGAGCAGCCATTTCTCTCGTCTTCAGTGTCACTTCAGAAATCATTCAATATGCTGATTTGATGAAACATTTATCATCAATGTTGAAAGCAGTTTGACCCTCAAACCGTATTCACTTTATAGCCCTTAATCCTGTAATTGTGGACAAATGTGGGCTCAGAGGACTCAGATGTGATCCTAATTTTTATTTATTATAAATGTTATATCGCGGCTGTCTTCGATTAAAGTTTTGTCTATCCATTTATGGTGGGGTTTTTTTGGGGGGCATTTTTGAAATTATTTACTTCAAAAAGTACCATATTTTCTATGTAAATTACGCTTATTTTTATGTTTTATTTTTTACATTTTTTTTAACTGCATTAAAATATCATTCCAATAATGATATTTTAATGGAAAATAGAATTCCAAGTTCTTAGAGCTAAAACCTAAAGATGAAGTGACTTTGCTGTCACCCGGTGTCTTATTTTGGCTCATTTTAGAGTGCTCTAAATTACAGCTTTTCCCATTCATTTCTATGGGTGCCCATTTTTGACCCAAATACAAGATTAAGGATTTTTTTTCACCCACTTAACATTGTAGAATTGAATCAAAAAAATTGTGTGTTCAGGAGGCAAACTTAGGAAAAAGTAGCCAAGTCTTGTACTGCTCAGATCAAGGGAAGTATTTTTAAAAAATAAATCAAAACTATTTTGCCCACATTTGTCCAGAATTTGGTTTTAGGGTTAATAGTTTTGTGGAAACCGTGATTTTGTTTAAGAATTCTTTGGTGAATAGAAAATTCAAAAGAAGTGTTTATTTTAAGTAGAAATCTTTTCTAACATTATAAATGTCTTTTTCAGCTTTGAACAATTTAATGTATCCTTGCTGGATAAAAGTATAAAAATCTTACCGACACCAAATGTTTGCTAGTGCATTTTTTTTTATATGCAAACAAGAATTCATAAATTTAAAAATAGGGTCTACACTTCTACCCATGTAGTGTTTAATTTACAATATTTTTTTTTCTTTTGGACTCCCTCAAGCACCTTACAGATGTCCGATTAGTTAGCGGATGACTTTATTTTGACTGCATTGTAGTCTTTCACCATGGGACCATGTTGGTGTTTTTGTGTTGATTTATAAAAACATTTCATCATGTTGATTTAAAAATTTGAATGTGTTGAAGCAGAAGATCTATTATGTAGATGTTACAGCTTGAATCAACCAGTCTGTTATCATTTTCATTTCTTTGCCTTCCTCGTGTTCACCTTCATTTTCCTGTTTGTGCCTCTCTCCTCTCATCGTTCTCAACAAAGACCCATGTTGAGCCCAGCCGACAAGATGGAGAAAGGTACCCAGGGACTGCCCGGCGACGAAAACAAGGACTCCTTTTCTTCCTCTTCTCCGGCGTCCAGCACACCCTCGTCCTCCAAGGACACGAAGCCACGCTCCCTTCGCTTCACCTGGAGCATGAAGACCACCTCCTCCATGGAGCCCAACGAAATGATGAAGGAGATCCGGAAAGTTCTGGACTCCAACAGCTGCGAGTACGAGTTGCGCGAGCGCTTCATGCTCCTCTGCGTTTCGGGCAGCCCTGCGCACGACGACTTCGTCCAGTGGGAGATGGAGGTGTGCAAGCTACCGCGCCTCTCCCTCAACGGGGTGCGCTTCAAGAGGATCTCCGGAACCTCCATCGCTTTCAAGAACATCGCCTCAAAGATCGCCAATGAGCTAAAACTGTGAGGAAGTCGATTGTTTTTGCGTGAAAAGATCTTGAGGAACGGCTGGAGCCCATGTGTTGGGTATATGGAGGCACTGTGAGGAAAATCATTGGAGTATTGAGCTCTACGGCAGCAATGAAGAGTCTCGAGGCTGTAAAGGTGTAAGACAAGTTCATGGGGGACATTTGTGCATATAGACATTCTTCAAGGGGTTTATTTTTTGGGGGAGGTGTTCTGTCTTGGTTTGGGTTTTCTGTTCCTTTCTCACCCTCCTCGAATACGTTGTGTTGTCATCTTTATTTTTGGCAATTTCGTTCAAACGTTGTGGTTTTTCTTGGACCTCACAATTGTCGTCACCTCAGAAAGAGTAAGAGAGAGCGAGAAGAGGTTGGCGTTAATAAACTGGAATTGTTTGCCAGTGAATCTTCTTTTTTTCTTCTACAAATGCAAACCAGCTGCTGTCATGGAAAGCTGTAGCTAACTCCCCCCAATACCATGATCCTTATTCCTTGTTCGTCCCCAAACACAAACAATGGTAATCTAAACCACATTACTTGATCTTACTTCCAATTCCAGGTTAGCTGTGATGAGCAGAGATGGAGAGATTGGTTGATTTATGCTCTGAATGTACAACAACAAAAAATCGAGACCCAAATGCCAGGCACACTCAGTAGAGGCACAATTCGAATTTTCTTATTCACTCATGCTCTGATTGGTTCTGATCTAGCCAATGGTGTTGTTGCTTATCCGTAATCTCTGCCCCATTTCTACGTCACAGTACAGTGTCTTATTTGAGCTGAAATGGAAGTGTTGACTTGAACCCTTGGTGCATTGGAGGTGAATCACCTCTTAGCACTCCATGCCCAGACAATTAGTTTTTTTTGTTGTTGTTTGTTTGTTTTTTTCCCCTCTATTGCAGGGGTTCTATATCTGAAACTAATTAAGGGCCAATTAAGTAATTATTGGTGGATTGTAGTGTAATTAAGACTTGCTGGTTGGATCCAATCTGCTGCACTGGAATAAGTCTGTGTTTCGTTGCCTTTCTCTTGAGAAGATAATTATTAATATTATTATATGAATAAAACCAGACATTGGATGATTTGTGTTCAACTGTTTATGAACAATATTCTTTTTATTTTAGTGTATTGTTTTTATTTCCTTTTGTTTCACCTTCAAACGACATTTGAAATATGCTTTTGTTCTTTAATTGATTTAAAGAGCGTGCAATACAAAAATAAAACTATTTACTTTCTAAAACATTCCACCTGAGAGCACTTGGAAACTAACTAGTCTCTAATTTAAGTGGCTTTTTTTCTTTTTCTTTTTTTTTTTTAGGGTAACACTTTCATTAAGATTTAACATTATGCAGTGCATAACAGATAATTAGTGTACTTTTACTATCAGTTGTTATTTATCTGATTATTATCTTTACATTTTAAATTTAATATGTCAAGTACAGATGCAAAAACATATAGCCTTAACTGTTATTCTTGGTTTATGACGATATTGTTCCAAATATCAACTTTTGATGCAAGGAAAAAAGACTTTCTTAACCCAGCAGTAGATTTTAATCCATATTTGTATATTATTTAGTCTCTCTCATTAATTAATGGAATGCTGATCCTAGCTGATATGCAGTAATCTTTATAGATTTCACATAAAATGTGAAAATTACAGTGCTCTAAGGAGATGGAAAAGTAGCAATGTTTTATCATAAATCTGGGGGGGGGATGCAACCGGATCACACCGGATGCAACACATGACGTGCACATCCATGATAGTGATCTCACTGAATCGGTCCGAGCGGTTTTCGAGTAAAGGGGCGAAAGGTAAGTTACTCAACTCTAATAGCCGAATAGCAGAAATTTTACAAAATATAGCTGCAGGCATCAATAACTGGGGCCAAGTGCAAAGGAGATAACAAGACATGTCGACATGTGTCAGACCTACTGCAGCAAGGAGCAATTGAAGATGTTAAGATGAATTTAGGCAAAATGGTTGAAAAATCACATACATTAACCAAAAATGTGATTAAATGGTTTATCACTTTCGACCAATAGGTGGCTTAGTTACAAAATCGATGTGATGAGGTCAGAGTTTGGTGACAATGAAAAAAACTTGGCAGTTGCATTAAAATATGCAAATTTATTCAAAAGTTATAAGTGTTATTTGAAATTTTGTTATAACTTTGACCAAAAGGTGGCACTATCTTGAAATCTTTTGAGTACCTTCAGGGGATGGTGCTGATGAAACAAACTTGAGTTTCGTAATGTTACACCAATGCATTTTGTTAAGTATAGCATTTTATGTTCTATCAGAGTGAGCCCATGCATTTGTGTCAAATTTGGTGAAAATATCTCATTTAATTTTGGAGTTATAGACATTTATGTGTGTGAACATATAAGAAATGATTGACATGTAACTTCTATTGAATTTTACTACACCTTACTATCAATATTTTGAGATCTGGGCATTAGCGTTTAGCCAGCGACCTATGTTTCCAAATTTCTGACGGTGGTTTTGTCTCGATCGGACTAGCGGTTTTGAAGATATCGGCAAATGTTTTTAAGCGCTAAATTACTGTGCTGCAAAAAACATATGCTGGAACCTGGCAAGTCTGGTATCGTTGGACTCGGCAAGGATTCAGGAGTCTAACCGTTTTGAAACATAATTCAAAATGGTCAATCTGGGTAAATTGGATATCACTCGATTCTGCATGATGCCCTGAATCTAATGGGATCACTGTTATGATTTTTGGACAAATTGTTCAGTAGTTATAAGCAAAAATAGCAATTTTTTGTATCTCTGAACCAGTAGGTGGCGGTGAGGCAAAACGCAGCATGTAGCCTCAGGTCATGCTTGTGATGACATGGACCAAGTTTGGTCAGAATACGATTGCAAGCGCTACGTAAAATTAATTTACATGGTATTTGAGAACGATTTGCAGTGTTTTTATGATTTTTTCAAGATTTTGATTGCTTATTTTTATGTACTTGCCTGCTTTTTTATCATTCAAATTTGGCTGGGTGGCTAATTACACATTTTGCTCTGTGGTGTGACAACACATACTTAATTTTGACTTTACCGGTTACTTGAGGGTTAAAATACTTTTTGGCTTTAAGAGTTAAAATACTTTCTGAATTACTTTTTTCTTTACTGGGATTTTTCTTTCATTTTAAGTGTTAATTTTGTCAGTAGGAGGGAGCTACTCTTTGCATTAAGATTCTCCATGAATACGGGCCCAGTAGTGTTAATGGTGTTAAGATCTCAACTGTCAGGGTGGACTGACATGAACTCCATGGCTCTTTCATTATGAATGAATTGACAAAGTAATAACAGTTAGTTAACATGATCCAAGTGAAAGATTCGTAGAAGTTCACATGAAAAACAGTCAACAAAATAAAATTAAATACTTTGAAACTTTTAACTTGTTAAAACACATTGTTCATGACTCAAAATGTACATTACATCAGTTTTGAAAAGATTTAAAAAAAAAAACATTTTGAAGCTTAATTTGTCTTTTCAACGTTTTACAGCACGTAATGGAGCATGTAATGACGTATTTTATTACGTAAAATAGTAAAAAAATCATTATCATATTGAGCGGCAAGTTTTTAAATGAACTGTTCGAAAGAATCGGTTCTCTGAAATGAGTTGGACTTCCCTTCACTAACTGGGGTCAATCGGTAGGAGGCGCTAGCTTTTGGCGCCCTACTCACCGCGCATGTGACCCTCCCCCAACCTCAAACAAGGCATACTCCGTCATCACGCATTATCAGTGAGCATAGCTCATGTATTCGGTATAGTTGCATGTTGAAGGTGAGTTTTTAAAGATTGCACTTCTTAATAGAGACTTTAAAATGGTATTCCTCGGTATTTCGCTCGTCGAGTGTGTAAGAAGTACGATAAGACCGTTTAATTGGCCATATTTCAGAAAATGAATTCACTCCGTTGTCCGATATTCTCTCTTTTCCCGAGCGTCGTCCTCATGTGAACCGAGAATATCACAATTTAATCGCACTGATTTATTTTACAATGTGAGATTATTTTGTCTGCGGTTGTTACTGGGTCGTAATAATGACTACACAGATTTGCCTCGTCGGACTTTTGCTGCTACTTCCTTAGTCTGGTGCTAATATATGCTAGCATTAGCACGATAGCTTTAGTCATCGCTTGATTTGAGATACAGTGGATCAAAGGGGTTAAAGATGCAGTTTTCTCATCGACCATTCAGTCAAATTCACATTGACCACATAATCAAGATAAAAAGAGTGTGAACCGTGTTTGAAATTTACTAATTATAGAAGTTATAGCCTGAAAGTGAAACAGTTTTGCCCATTACGCACGCTCTGAGATACTTTGTTCTGATTGGTCAGTCGCGTTTAGATGTTCAGCGGTAAAATATTTTTTTTTTTAGTGTGGCAGCTAAACTGATTCATTCAGCACAGAGCTATGCAGTAAGTATGCAAATGTTTATATAATTTAACTTCATGTTATTTCACTACTTAATTTAATCAGTAGCTGAGTGATTTATAAGCGTGAGAATATACAGGCAACCAGTCATCGAAAATGGCTTTGTGCTGATGTTCTGTTTTTTACTCTACATGGAAAAACAACAATTAATTTACTCTCATTAACATTTCATAAATCATATCTATGCATTTAATCATCCGTGTAATAAATGGGATGACTACGGTAGAATTAGACGGTCATTATTTTAAAAAAAAAAAATTCTATAAATCCCTATATTTATATGATTCCCTCACAGAATTGGTAGGTACATAATATCTCGACTTGTATTCCTATGATTCAAGTGTGCGAGACCATTAATTGTTAAATACCAATGGAAAAATGCTTGATGGCAGCAGGGAAGTTGTGGTTTCTCCTGTTTGTTTGTTTTTTGCATTTCTATTTTTAGCTTGAACTAAAGTAGTTTGTTTTTTGCCCGTTTATTTAACTTTGTTTTTTGTCTTAGGAACTTCATTGTTTGAGACCTTGCACGTGCAAATCAACCAAAGACTGATTCCAAAACACTGCTGTTCTTTCTGTCCAAAATGGTGAAGATATTTGTTGGCAATGTAGCTTCCGCGACCACCGAAGACGAGCTCCGTGCTTTGTTCGAGAAGTATGGCCCGGTGTCTGACTGTGATATTCTGAAAAACTATGGCTTCGTGCACATGGATGAGGAAGAGGCGGCGCAAAAGGCCGTCGCCGCTTTGCACAAGCACGAGGTCAACGGCTCTCGCATCACCGTCGAGTATGCCACCACCAAGGTACGCAATGCAACCAAGATCTACGTGGGCAATGTTCCTGAGGGCGTCACGGCCCCCAAAATCAAGGAGCTCTTCCAGCCGTTTGGCAAGGTTGTGGAGTGCGATATTGTGAAGAATTACGCATTCGTTCACATGCAGAGGGAAAGCGAGGCTCTGGAGGCCATTTCAGAGCTTAACCACTCCAAAGTGGAGGGCCAAAAGATCTTTGTGTCTCTCTCCCGCAGTAACCCATCCAGAAACGGCCGAGAGGATGACTATTATCCTCCTCCGCCCCCGCATCACTATCCACCTCACCCACACCATCATCCTCACTTTCTCCCCCCACGCCCGCCGCCCCGTGACTACTATCCGCCTCGTGGCCGACTTCCACCACCTCCTCTCCCACCGCCGCCGCCCCGCGCCTACTACGAGCGAGATGTGTATGAGAGGGGCCCTCGCCACGACCCGTACGCTGCCCCATCCCCGCGTTTTTACGAACGGGATCCATATGAACGGCGCCCTCCGCCCCCTCAGCGACCAGTCACACCTCCTCTCGCCGGGCGCTACTATCGTGAGCGCAGCCCTCTCGGCAGTCGCCGCTCTCTCCTGCCTCCGCCTCCCCCACCACCCTCTTCTGCCGGCTTCGCCCGTGGTTTCGCCCGCAATGGCGCTAGCTCAGCACCCCCTCCCCCTCCCGCCGCTCCTTCCTCCCACTACCATCGCTACTCTCTCGGCTCAGGCTTTGATAAGGATGATTATTTGGAGGACAAGTACAGCAATGGCTTCAGCCGTAGCTACTAAGCATTGAAGTTTGTCCGTCCCTTTTTTATTATCGAGGAGCCGAGTAATCTAAGAGGGGCGTGACTTCAGGGAGTTAGGGGTGAATTTTTGTAATATTCTGTGTTCGTTGTAGCTATTTTAGATAACGGGTTAATCAGCTAATACTGTTCTCATTTAACTAATAGATTTACGTCCGCCCGATGAAGGAACGGCAAATAGGAAGTTAAATACACCTGTTTCAGAGTTTTATAGCATGTTTTGTTGTACTATATTTGCCAGCCATATCGGTTGAGTATTTTCTTAAATTTCGTTATTTTATTTTTTTTGGCATATCACATTTTTAGTTCATTTTACTCTGGCATGCACTAAATAAATAATAATTCGCTTGAACATATATATAGAGAGATTTTTTTGCATTGATATTTCAACATGCATAGCCTACCCAACAGGAAATTGATCGTTTTAAATGTTTGCCTGTTTTTTTCTGTTTAGTATTTAGGAATATTCAACTGTTGTCACTGTCTTTTGCATGAATCGGGCAAGTTAATTTGGAGATATTTCGAATTTTCATCATTGGTCTTCGCAACTAAATTATATTAATTCTGTCTTTTCTTTTGAGAGATTTTTTTATTTTTTTTTATGAATTTCTGCTCTGGACTACCTTTATGTTGGCAAATTAACTTATGTTGTTAGAAGTAATGCTGGATGTAAGTGAGACCAGTGGGAAGGAACAGAGGAAACGGGTAAAGAGGTGGTTGTGGGCGGAGCTGTATGCTATAACTGACTGATCAACCAATCACATCCTACCGGCTAACCGAGCACATCGCATCCACCAGACGCTCAACGTTCGGATCCGCCGCCGCATCCTAGGACCATCGGTCAAAGGAAACGAATGACCGACCAGCCGCCGACCGCCTAATAAATTAAAAACAACGCTGAATCAATTCTACACTGTATTCCGAGAGATCACGTTGTATTCGACAAATAGCTGATTTGCCGATTCCGCAGACTCAGAGAAAGTTTTTAAAGATTAGAGACTTATTTTGGCATCACATTATAATGCTTGTGATTGAAAATATTACTGAATTCTCAACATTGTTTCCTGTCCTACTTGTACTACTGCTGTTTGCCTATTGTTAGCGTACACTTCTGTTTAAAATGTACGTTTGTTAAAAGCCTGTTTTCTCGAAACCGCTCTATCATATTGTCCACTCGAGCAGGTTCGTAACTTGTGCTTGTTTTGATTTAACCCTATGAAAACAGATTCATGTTCTACCAGTCGCTGTCATCTTGCCGCCTGAATAAAATCTCGACTGACTTAGATGCAACGCTTTTCATGTCACTCGTTTTTAATTGAGTCTCTTTAATTCCTACCTCATGTCTCACTCGGTCACGTTATCATTCGTATAATACAAATGTCCTTTGACTTGATCTATAATGGGTGAAGTAAAGTGCCATATAGATTCGTATTAAAACTGCACTTTCCGCTTGAAACCTTCATACAAAAGGCCGAAGGCATTAATTTAAACCTTAGTAAATTCTAGTCTTGTCTTCTTTTTTTGATCAAAAATGACCCCTGTCCAAGATGAATGAATGTTCAATACTCTGTTTTGAATAACTTGAAGCTTTGTGGTTCATCAGGATGGGTGAGTTAAAGTGAAGGTAAGTAGTATTTCAAGCTGGATTGTTTGGACTTTTGTTCTTCTTGTCATGTTGCATGTTATTGAATGTATTCATGAGCTAGCTGATCCTGTATGTTTTTTTTCCCCCATTGATGGTATTATTATCTACAGTCATTGTCTGTGGCTTTAAAGTGATTTATATACATATATAAATCTTTCTCTTCACAGCCTTTCAGTAGAAACACAGCTGAAGTTTTCCTTATAATCAGCTCTATCCAGACTAGGAACAGTTGTACATGCTTCTATGGTTATTTTAAAACAAAATGCATTGCATAATAGATAATACATACCTCATGTGAACTTGCAATACTCCAGTCAGCAGCTTCAAACTTCCTAAATAAGTGTTTCTAATGGGAATGATAAATGAAACATACGTTGTTGGTTTACTCATCTATTACAAGACCTCATTTTTATTATTTGACTTTTGTTTGGCATGATGACCAAAATGAGGTTATGAACTAATGAACAGATTTTAAAAGTCAAGATTTTAAGGTAATAAAATAAATATAATTTAAAGTAAAAGATAACATCAACACATTTATAAAGACATGGTGTAAGATCATTTGTGTGCTAATTTTGATTTAATATTGGTATAATTGGGTACTGAACTTGGTCATGTATATTAGATTTTGACTGATCTTGAATATTTTAAGTTATGTATAATAAAGAAAATGCTTATTTTTATTTAACTTCAAATACGGTTTTACTGCATGTTGAACAAAAAAAAAATCAGAATTTTTCTTTGGCCCTTTTATTTTCCTTTTGTTTAAAAATAATGATTTGACTGACATCACTTTTTAAATAAGTAGGCCTGCATAAATTCCATACTAACCATACATTAAATTACTTTGTCCTGAAATTGTGCACTGATTTAGAGTAACTGCTGGTGCTTTGCAAGACTATAACCACCTGTTTATAACAAAGGAACCCTTTTCCTGGAAATTTACAGCACACGTTGTACTGTTTCCTTAGAATGACCCATATAAAAACTAACACAAGGTTATTTTATTTAATTCTGATGATGATTGTCATACAGACAATAGGAGTGAAGTAGGATATCCTATGACAGCAGATCAAATGTACATTTGTGAGAGGTTAGGACTTGTGGGTCTGGTCTGTTTAACACAAGAGCACTAGTAAAGAAGTAACTTTAGTTCAGATCTATAACCTCTATAAATGAAATCCTGAGAAGAATGCAAAGCTATCCAAAAGGAAATGCACTGATTTAGCTCTTCATTATTTGTCAATTTCACTTTCACAATCTTTGTAATGTAAATGTGCTTGCAATAAATGCAGTGTGTAGTAACTTTTATGCAGATAACTGATTAAATGTGTGTAATTTCCTTAAATGCTCACTAATGCCCATTTCTCAAATCTTTTGGGAATATCTGTTGGTGAATAAAGGAAGCATGGTGGTTATTTCATCATTTTCTGGTGTTGTGAATTTGTTTGCCTCATTGCACAGCTTTTTTTCTGCAGTTCTGCGATTATATTTGCCCCCACTTTCTATAAAAGAATAACTAACCATTGAAATTACCACAGCGTCTAAAATGCCCAAAAACGAACCCTGCCTCGGCTTCACCCGGTACCCCATTCAGGAAACGGAGTGAACGTATGATGTCACGTGGTGTAAGAACACGCCTCTTGGAATCCTTTGGTGATTTAGCGCGCTTTCTGTTTGAATTTGAAGCGTTCTGACATTCCGGACATGTGCTTTACGTGCGTGAGTAAACCTCTACAACTTAAAACACAAAATACATGTATATGTACATCAATATACAGAACTAATTCGCATTTCTAAGATTCTGATAGTATTACTTTTACGTATGATCCGTTGTCATTTTGTATTACTAGTAGTAACTAACTAAGCAACTGGGCTGCTGTATGTTTTTATGGCAAGCTTCGTTTCTTAGTTGCTTTCTTGGCATAATGTTAGGATTATGTGGTTGGTTATTATGAATTTTCATGACTATAACAACATGACCAGTCTTTAAAGGTTATCAAATTTCAACACTCACATAAACTCAATTTTAAACTCTTCAGCATGCCAAAGATCTAGGGAATAAATCTAATTCAGAATGTTGGCATGACATGAAAAAACACCCATCTATTTTCCTATATGCATTTTAGTAGAGTTCATCCTTGTTTATTTCCACCACAGAATAAAAAATTTAAATACTTTATCTCACAATACTGACTTTTTTTCTCACAGTTGCTAGATTTAAACTAAGAAATTGCAAGTTAAAATGTTAGAATTGCATATATGTTTCTCGTAATTGTGAGATATAAAGTTTGGCTTTATAAAGTCCAAATCTGAGAAAATAGACAGAATTGTGAGTTTAAATCATGCATTTCTGAGGGGGAAAACAATCCGAATTGTGAGATTATACATTGTACTGTTTCCTGAGAGTGATGCTTCCATGTTTCCATATTGATCTGCCTCCATCTAATAACCAAATGGACAGAATTAAAGGCATGGTTCACTTTGAAATCATTTTTTGGTATGTTTTAGCTTACCTCAAGGGCACCCAAGATGGAGGTGTTTTTGTTTCCGCAGTAGTTTCAATTTTGATATTTTTAGGTCAAACCGTTCTTGTCTGTCAGTCATATAATGCAGGTCTATGGACACCATCTCAAAGAGCATACACAGAGAAGTCCAAATTAAACATGATTCAATGACTCGTAAATGTAAGTACACATTGATGGCCTAAGACACGAGACGAGGGATACCCTCGAGGTAAGATAAAACATACCAAAAATTAATTTCAAAGTGAACTATCCCTTTAAGTTCCCACCCTACATTTTTTTTAAATAATCCGTTTCACTCAGATGCACATCAGAATACAGAAGAAAAGATGCATCGCTGTTTCTGCTACATTGTGACTTTAGTTTTGTGTTGCCAAATTTCTTTAAATCAACACTATTTTCAATGTTTTCAGGCCTGAATGTTTGCAATAATATAAAAATGATGGTACCGTCAGTCACATTGATATCAGGAGTACAGATGCCACTTTTGGGTTTGGGCACTTACAAGCTACAGGACCTTGAGTGGCTGAAAAGGTCTGTCAGCTCTGCACTTCAAGCAGGATACCGAGCCTTTGACACAGGTGCTGTCTATGGAAATGAGGCACATCTAGGTCAAGTCCTCAAAGAGCTATTGCCCATGTACGGACTAAGCCGTGAAGATGTGTTCATCATCAGCAAGCTTGCCCCATTAGACCATGGGCCGAGGGCAAAGGAAGGCTGCCTGAGGAGTCTGAAGCAACTAGACTGTGAATACATCGACCTCTATCTGGTGCACTGGCCTGGGATGGAGGGTCTTGACCCAGACGATTCCCGCCATTCAGAGTATCGGGCGCAGAGCTGGGCGACCCTAGAGGAGTTCTATGCCAGTGGCCGATTTAAGGCCATAGGGGTTTCAAACTACACCTCAAAGCACATTAGGGAGCTGCTCATGAGTTGCCGCATGCCCCCAGCGGTCCTTCAGATAGAGTGCCAACCGAAGCTGATCCAGAGGGAATTGAGGGATTTATGTATGGAGACGGGCATTCACTTCCAGGCCTACTCTTCTCTGGGAAAAGGAGCTCTCCTTAGGGAGCCAGAGGTAGTGGATATAGCGAGGAGCTGTGGTCGGACCCCTGCCCAGGTACTCCTGAGGTGGGCTGTGCAGCAAGGCATCTCAGTTCTGCCTCGGTCCTCGCAGCCAAACAGAGTGCAGGAGAATGCACAGGTGTTTGACTTCCAGCTAAGTGAGATGGATATGATGAGGCTGGATTCCCTGAATTGTGGAACAAGGTTTTGTAAACGTGACTCTAGCAAAATAGCTTAAGCCCTGATTTGACAAATTTCCTGAATAAGAAATGATTTAAAAAATAGGCAATGACATGATGCTTTTTGTAGTAGAAAAAGAAAAACATTAAATGCCTTTTGGGTTTCAGGCTATTGACTATTTTGGAAACAAAATTATTTTTTATTTTTTTATTGAAAGTCAAAATTGTATGGGTGATACAACTGGATGCACTATATGTAAGTAATATAATTGACCTTTTTACTGTGATGCAAGCTTAGTTCAGGCTGTATAATGTGGTTTGACTTACTAAAAAAAGGTTTTTAATAAAGGATATTTGGGGGAAAACTTTTTTTAAAGGGATTGTTCACTTTGAAATTAATCTTTGATATGTTTTAGCTTACCTCAAGGGCAAATATTCAATCAAAATTTAAAATACTGTGGAAACAAAGACACCTACATCTTGGATGTCCTTGAGGTAAGCTAAAACATATAAAAAAATTATTTTAAAGTAAACTATCCCTTTAAGGAACATTAAGATAGTCAGTCACATATATTCAAGGTAAAAGAAAACATTGTGGTTACGCCAAATTAGCTATTTTATCTTGCACTATTCTTAAAAAATATCAGAATTTTCAAAACCAAGATTACAAAGAGTAAATTTCTACGACTTGGACCTGTTTAAAACTGGATCTTTCCTTTTTGACCCAAAAACATAACACTACCTTCAGCCAGAAAATCTTTTATTTTGACCACAAAATTATAGAAAAAGGATAAAAAAACGTGATTGTTTTAAAAAGTATTTAAACAGTTCATCCATTACTCAATCTATGTAAACGGTTATAAATATGTACAAGGATCTTAAAAAAGGAATGAAGCACATAAAGCACAGCAAGACTGATAGTACAGAAATAGCACTTGTGTTGTCCATCTGCATATATTTACTTCCCCAGAAACTGAATGTACTGAATGTAACTGATTAACGTACAAGACCAGCAGATGGAATATAAAGGAAAAAATCCAAGAGACAACAGGCAACTTTACAATCAAGAAATATGTACATGAAAGGCAGTGATGAATTGCAAAGCTATGAAAGTATCAATTAAATAAATTGTTCGGTTTTCCTGGTGACGTATCCACGTATATTCATCATAAAAGATGGCAGAACAACCACTCTTAGTTATTCACCACAATGGTTTGGCATGAACAAACAAACAAACCTGAGATGTAGCATATATCAACAAATGAACTGAAATAACTTTACCCGTATTATTGTTACCGTCACTATCCTTACAACTTTATCCGGCGTCACAGTCCTTGAAATATATTTACATTTTACAAGCAACCGCTCCAGCCTTTAGTACACCAAAAACGCACGTCTATATATCAATCTATAAAATACATCATAGAACACATTTCTTTGCCAAATATGAACTTAATACATATCAATAAATAGAGGTTTTATTTTTGAAATCAACACAGAAAGATTGTCCAATGAATTGTAATATTTTAGGAGAGATTGTCCCTTTTGAGATTGTCAAATTGAATGAACACTGACAATTTCTGTAATTAAACGTACGTTATTGCAGCGGTAAAACGTGATGCAACACTTTTACCGTTTTCTCAGATTGGTTTTGCAGTAGCTTGAGCACATGGATTACGAAAAAGGCCATGATGGTGATCAGACAAGCCTTCATCTGAGAGCAGCTCACGGGGTAACTGTTATTAAGTGTGTGAAGCCGTGTTAAAGCATGACTACTTCATTCTCTGCCCTCCTCTTCTTTGGAACTCCAGAGGAATGAGAACCATCCTCTGTAGGTCTGTTTCTGGCTGTTCACTCTTTTGACGTCCTAGAAACAACAAAACAATTTGTAAGATTTCACATATTTAAGGCCTCTAGCTCACAACCTCTGAAATATAAATGCATTCAGAGTACCATATAGCTGGCTCACCCCTTTGTCAAGCCACGTGTCAAATTCATCGCTCATTCTCCTCAGCTGTCGTCCGTACTTCTTTGCTTTCCACAGCGCAGCAGGAGCAGATTGAGAACGACCTCTGAATGGAAGTCCATCTCCCGCTCCTCCGTTCTCCTCCGCCGATGCTCCATCCTGGGGCTCTGCGTCCTGCCAGCGGCTGACCGTATACACCTGAGACTCTGAATAGAGCCGCACACGCCCTGCAAAAGCATGTGATCACATGATAAGATAAATGTTTGTGTTCAATCTAGGTCAATATATGACGCATGGCATTTCCTGATACTTCATGGCGACTGCGTTTGTGTGAAGTTCTCACCTTGAGGAGAAATGTTTGACAAGTTTTGACCCATATGTTGTCCATGGTTGATTGTCTCTTCCAGATGTGATTGCTTTTTGCCCTCCAAGGCACTGGAATCATCTTGATGGTCATGCGATGTGTTATCCATCGTGAGAACTGGTGAACATTGAGTAGTATGGTATTAATATTGGAATTTCAAGGTGTTGAAACAATGAATTACCTAATACTTATTATATTACATGAAGAACATTTAGTAACACGGACATTAAGATTAACATTCACTGGTTTTACTAAATACATAACAGTTACCTGTGGATCTGGACGAATTCCAGAACAATAGATCTGAATGTGTTCTTCTCTCCAGATCTCAGTTGGTAGTGGCACTGGATTCCGTCTTATCTCCGGTACGATTACGAGTAGCTTCTCCAGTTCTCAACATATATTGACTGCCTCATGGCATGTGACACACCCAAACAACAACAATAGCTGTAATTTCTACTTATATAAGTTTCATATTTTTAAGGTAAAGTCAAGCTCCTCTGAAAACGTCGTCGGCCAAAAATAATGGAAAAAATATCCCGTTTTTCGTGACATTTAGTCGGAGTGATTGTCTCCTCGCCGAAAGTAGTAGCGTGCCAAATTTCCTCTCCGGCTGTTGTTATCGCTACAGTGTGTATGATGATCTCATTTCGTCTCCGATACTGTTGTTGTCCGTCGTCGTTTACAGTAGTGCTCCGCTCTCAGCCAATCAGACGGCGTGCGCCCTCTTTGAGCAACCAATCACAGCCCGCTGCTAGGGTGTTTTGGGCGCTCACTGATAGAACGTCACTGTTGCGATAGGGGTTCGCGAGCCTTTGCTGTCCCGTGACTTGTTTACCTCAACTCAGGCCCCAGTCTCGCGAAAGCGTGGGATATCGTGAGCTTGAGGACGCCGTCGCGAGAGAATTTGCAAAAGAAACGCACCGTTTAACTTTATTTGCATAGACTGGCATTAGAAAAAACTGAGTGACTTTAGTGGCGCAGCTCTTAAAAGGGAGTCTATTATGGAGAGGTGCTTACGTATCTCTGTTTGGCCTTTACGTTGAATGGTCTGCAGTACACTGATGCTAATACAATTCGTAGCTAAGAGAACATATTAAGCTATTCAAGAACTGTGGTCATATAATGTGCATTTCCTCAGTTCGAACTGTAGATGGCAGGAGAGACCTGTGTTGAGTCATTGGAATAAGTTAGTTATTTCTTTGCTTACATGACTCATGCCTAAATATAGGTTAATAGGACCTGTTACTGTGTAGATTGCTGCATATGTTAGATATTTTCATATATATATATATATATATATATTTTTTTTGCTAGGTCTACAACACAGCATGACTTTTCTTTGTACATTCAGTTTTCCTTTTCATTTAGTAGCTATTAACTTGCATTAGCTATTAACACATCTACACACATATTAACACTGTATTTAATTTAACCATACCAACTGAATTTAGTGAGGCAACATTGCACTAAATGTTGCACTAATGTTCTGCTGGTAAAGATTAAGATAGAAACATAGTACCTCATTGAGAGCATCATGGAGACACATGGGTGGCAGAGTTTAAATAGGTCCTAAATAAAAGGTCCTCCTTAAAAGGCTTCCACTGATTATTTTATTGTTTATACTAATATTTTTTTTCATTGTTGTGAGTTTTGTGACCCAGCTGCAGAAATAATAAAACACAACCATCTTAAACCAGGTTTGCTGGCCTTGGCAGGAGACCAAGTGTAGCGTTAGTTCTGGCAGGTCATGTTAGTCAAGCTCAATTCAGCTGATCCATGTCTACCTGTGGAATATGACACCTATTAATGTACATAAGCTTATTCAGTATAATCAGACGCTATCGCGTTCCTCAGAAGCCAATTAACCTGCTCCATCCCCAGCTCCTCTTCTCGTCCAGTCAGGATTTGGTATTCTGATTCCCCTTTGAATCAGACTAAATTCTCAAATTATGTTGTAAATTAATATATTGACATTAATGATATCTGCATACATACATGTTGGTTCTGTTCTGTTTACCCTATGGGGGGTTATTGCTGCTCTTCCTGCTTTTATCCATGCTAGGCTGCATGGATTCGCAGGGAGTTCTTGCCCAGAACAGAACCATACCACCAATCCTAATCATATGCTTGTTGTCAATCGTGTTTGACGAGTGGTCCTGACAGAACTGGCCATCCTGTTCCATTGGTGGCTTAAAAGTTCTAAAATCAGCCAAGAGGGGGGTTGAGAGACTGTCTAAGACCAGCAAACCAGTTTATGCTGGTTTAAAGGGATAGTTCACCTTGGGGTACTCTGGGTTCGGGCAGAATTCCAAGCTCGGAGCCCTCCCCCCTGGACAGCACGCCAAATACGGATTATACTTTAACCTTAATTGTATGTGAGTGTGAACTCGTGAAATGAAAATTAGACCATGATTGGCTCAGCCTGAAGTCATCCTATGTGTATATGACATTCTCGTTGTGTGTCAAGTTCAAGTGTTACTCTTTTGGCATTAATCGATGTGTACGGTCGTCTGACGGAAGCTAGTTATTTTAGTCGATAAAGTTTAAATATTGGTATTTTTCTTACAAAAACACATCGCTTTACTTCAGAAGACCTGATTTTGGGGTGAACTATCCTTTTAAGATGTTTTTGGTGGGCCAATATTGGTGCACAACCAAGAAGGAATTTTGCCTTCGATGACTGGGTTTTCTGGTGAGTAGTTCTTCAAATCATTCTTAAAATTATAGAGAGTATATTTTTGAATTGAAAATAACATTGAGAAAATGTTATTTTTATTACACCTGGCGAGATTCAATAAAACTGCTGTTCACCTTTGAACCGCTATTGTAACCAAGTGTTATTGTCAGAGGGTAGCCTACAAGTTAACGTTGGTTCAAATTAAATAAAGCCCCTCTGATATGCACGTGTTTTTACACTCCAGCCAAGATCATTAGCAGTTCTAAAATGTCTGTCTGTTCTACATCAGTGCCAATTTGATGAATTATCGTCCGGTGTTGGCTCGCCATGCTCCAGCGACACTGGAAAACCTGCACTGCAGTCTGTTGAAAACACAGTCCGCTGCTGTCACACTCGCTGCTGCAAAAATGCCGCTTTTCTGCAGAATCCATTCGCAGAATTTCCATACCTTTCCAACAAACTCCGCCCGTCTCCGTCCGTCCTCATGGCGAGGCTGATGATGCTGATGCGAGCGAATAGTTAACATCTTCTCATTTACTCCCTCTGGCGCCACACGTCCATGTGCGGCTCTGCTCTGCTCATTCTTCTCTATTTCTCTCTCTCTTTGCCCCCAACGTACAATATAATCTTCGCTTTTTTTTTAGAAAGCTTATTTTCTATCATTCTTTTTATTTTATTTTTATCCCTAAAATGCAATCAATGGAGGCATGCGTTTGATATTTTTCTATTGTGTTTGGAATTATGTGAATGGGCTGCAGTTGCTGCTCGAAGATCTTTCGTCGAGCACTTTTTACTCGAATTGAGGTTTTAATTCACGTCTCATCTTGAACGTAAGACCCTCTTTTCTTAAGATAAGTCACGCCTCGAGTCTACAACTTGATTGGATTGTGCGAGTTTATGTTAGTTGTTTGTATTGTTTGAACTGTCAAATCAAGAAGAGCACCGCTGCGCGCGCGCATCACCGCTGTACAGCGCGCGCGCATCACCGCTGCTCCATGGAGACTTGAGTCGCGCGCACCGAGCTCATTCACTGTGAATTACACCGAACTACAGCAAGTCAACAGCGAGTGTCCACTGGAATCCACACACCGTCTTTGTAAGTACGAATTTACTCACCTCACCACATTACAATACAACTAATACAGTGCTCTTACCAACCTGACTGTTGGTTTAATACACAAAGAAAGCGAACTGATTGCAACAAATGAGTAATAGACGTGCATCCTCCTCCATGTTTTCAGGTTACTTGGTGTTAGAATGAAAGACGATTCTATGAAAGGATACTCCCACGTTTAAATATCTCATATTTATCCAAGACTAGATATTTCCAATTTCAACCTGCGTATTTTTTTTTTCAGGTACAAAGTTGCGTGTCATATTTCACAGGAGCTACAACAAAATGAACCTCTGTTAACGTACATTTGTCTGTCAGAGCAGGTAAGATTGACTTTACTCTTGTTCACCAGTTCAATTGAGTTACTATTATTATCTGCGTACGTTGCTGCTATTCTCTCTTAAATGTTTTCTAGTGTCCCCGCATAACTAGTAGAACATAGTTTTCATACTGGCTGTGAATACTTAGCAGGCACAGTTCTCATGGAAACGATCTCCAACTCTCACTACAGAGGCAGCCCACCTGTTTCAGATAAACATAGAATATGATATGCCAGTATGCTGTGGTATGTAGGGAAGCCCTCAGCTTCCACATTGACTGAGATAAAAAATTATATACGCATGTAGAAATTAGACATGTAAATGTATTTTTTCCCTCTACACTGGCCAGGTTTTTTTCTATCCCACAGTGTTTACGTTACGTACGAAACCTCAGGCTGATTTTGGCATGTTTTTCCTCTTTTTTTATACAGGAATGTGCTGTTTCTTTGTTTTGAAGTGTTCAACTTAACGGATAATTCACTCAAAAAAAAAAGAAAACTCATCTTTTACTCATCCTCATGTTGTTTCAAACCTCTATGACTTTGAACAGACGTGTAACAGATGTGTGTCTTTCATTGTATGGACAAAAACATTCTTCAACATTTCTTGTTGTGTGTTCAGAATGAGGAAGAAAGTTTTGGTGAGTAAATGATGACAGTCGTTTTATTTTTGGCTGAAGTGTTCTTTTAACATAGAAGCAAATATAACAGATGGTCATTTTGACAAACTGAGGATTTGATATGCATTTGATAGACCTGCTCTCATATGACAGACAAAATGCCATACGTTCTCACAAGGGAAATCAATTACTCCTTTAATTTCCTTTGTTATATAATTATACTGCAACAAAACAGACTGAAGCCAAATGATACTCCTGCAGCTTGTGTTTAAAATTCATTTTCACTTAGGTTGAAGTGAAATAGCCTGAAATATGTATTTTAATGCCAGAATCTTAGTGTCAAAAGCAGTGCCTGTGGTACAAACATCATGCGATCATTACAGATCTATATATATATATATATATATATATCACTTTTTTTTTTCGCTGAAAGCTTGATTTAGCTTCAGTCTAGTCTGGCTGAATCTCTCTAGTTGTAAACCGCTATGTGTTCGCCTGTTTCAATGGCAATTTCAATGGCATTATTTCCTTTCCCCTAATGCCTGGAACCATTACTCACAGTTTGTGCTAATCTTAATGTTTCTGGCAAACTGAAAATAATCCTACTCTTGCTAAAGGCGGAATTCAGAAAGTGGTTTGTTTCCACTGCTGCTGCTCCTTTCATTATGTGGCGTGTCTGAATATTTGTACATCCTCTTGCTCCGAAAGCTCCGGAAGACATGAATTATATCGGCCAAGATTTTAAAGCCAATTTTTGTTGCAAGTATGAGTTTCCATTGGATTGTAAGCCTGCAAGGCTGTCCTGAGAGCTCCATATGTGGCACAAGAATTATGTGTATAACTGTCTACAACACATCCAGAAAATTAGACGTTTAAACCTTTTTAAGTGTGTGCAGGCTTAAAGTTTCTGTTCTAAATATGAGGATATTTTTCGTGCACTTGTGTTTGTCTACCGGTCGAATGTTTTATCCATTTAGTATCACCCTCCTCAGTGAGAATCCAAAGCCTCCAAATGGCGTTCTTTTCGCTTCCACTAGCAGCTCAACCACCATTATTAAAGTTGAGCCAGGGGCCCATCACTAAAGCCTTCATATTTCTCCCCCAGTCCACAGCTCGCTTGCCTTTTACAAATGATTAGCACTGTAAAATCCAGCCAAGTGAACCATTAAAATATCTTGCCCTTCTCAAGTCTCTGCACAATAGATAATATAAATATGCAGCTTTAAAGGAGAACTAAAAAATTCTCAGGTCTGAAACTTACAGGATATTCTTATAATATGATGACCTCTTAGATGTCAAAAGCTCAGGGAAATTTTGATTTCTCAGTTCATCACCCCTTTAATACCAGGTGTAAACAGGGGTGTCCAAACCTGCTCCTGGAGGGACTGTGACTTTTGTGTTTGTACATCCTGTAATGAATGTTAAAGCTGGGCAATTAAATAATAACATTAATCAATGTTTGACTCATTGGGACTTTGGGAGTTACCCAAAACAAACATTCCAGAGTGCACTCCTATAATTGTGGACTGGTTATTGTGCCCCAATCCTCAAAGACTCACTAGCCAATTTTATTTTACACATTTTTTTAAACATTTAAAATAAAATAAAAAATACACAATCAAATACATGACTTTCCTTTTGCTCCTCTAATGTTAATACTATTTATATCTACTGCATTTGCCCTTTTATTATTCAGTTTTTAAAGTCTTTATACCTTTCTAACCTGTTATATTCATACTGGCCAGGGAAATGGTAAAAATAAATATTCCTGTATGGTTAGAATAGTTGCATAATACAAAGTATTATGTACAATATGCTTTGTGACAGAGGAAGATCTGGTGCTGTAGTCGCTGTCCGGGGTGCTGAATCTACATTAAAGGGTTTGTTCAACCACATATGAATATTCTCTCATTAATTACTCACCCTTATGTTGATCCAAACTTGTAAGATTTTGTTCATCTTCGGAACACAAATGAAGATCTTTTTAAAGGAGTAGTTCACTTTAAAAAAAACTTTTGCTGATAATTTACTTACCACCATGTCATCCAAGATGTCTATGTCATTCTTTCTTCAGTTGAAAAGAAATTAAGGTTTTTGATGAAAACATTCCAGGATTTTTCTCCATATAATGGACTTCAATGGGAACCAAACGGTTCAAGGTCCAAAAGACAGTTTCAGTGCAAACTGCAAACTGTTCAAAGGGCTTTAAACGATTCCAGACGCTGAACAAGGGTCTTATAAGCGAAACAATCGCTCATTTAAAAAAAAAATGAATAACAAAGTTTAAGTTTTATAAGCTCAAATGGTCGCCTTGCTCTGTTCTGTGATGCGCGTTCGTGACTCCTCTGTTCGAACTAGTTTATCAACATGAACAAATCTTTTCAAGACTTTTTCAAAAATTCTTTCAGATTTGCCAACATTTTGGGTTTGCTCTTCTGTATTGAAGGTTGTGTTAGGTGAATTGGTCTCAAAGCTTTTTTGGGCTTTGTGTAGCTGTTGCAACAGGCTGATGGGGATCAGTTTAAATGTAAAGTAAATACCTCATAGGAGACACGTCAGTCAAAATACTGTCTGCAAAGCCGGGATTTTACACTGGGTCGGTCGTAGGAACAAGGAAATTGAGGAGCCCAATGATTCCTACCTCCAGATTCATGAGTGCAAATCTGAATTCTTCAAAGAATAAGTACTGTGATATTGTTTTTTATCACTTCATTTTTATTCTATCCTCCCCTCTATCCCCATGATGGCATGCTAAAGGTTTCCAGATGAAATAGGCTTTTGTGCTCCCCTGTCTATTCCACAGCATAACTGTAAATTAGGAGGTGGAACAGGTTTTTGCACCCTTTTTATTTTCCTCTTTCATGGACAGTGGTGCTGGAATTACGGGACATTTTTCACACTTGACTTGATAACTTCAGTGGGTTTTCTCACAGTTCCTGAAAACCACTTTAGACAGAAGAATTCACATGACAGCAATGGACACATACTGTCTTTTTATTGAGAAACGATTATTTTTTTTTGGACAAACTCTGTCCAGGGTTGATGTGCATGTTTAAAAAATTAATAAACACCACTGGTGTGAAATCAGATTCTACAAGAAGTTAATCAGGATTCATTATGAAATATATTTGATTTCATTATAAAATTGTTGTACTTTAAAAAGTCAGTGACACTGAAGCTATTTGAGTTGAGTCCCATCACAGATTTTGCAAGTGCAAACTGCTGCAACCTACGTATTTCTTGTTATTTGCTTGGCGAAATTGCTAGCCAATTAGCATCATACATTTCACACAATTATACACCACATTCCTTGTTTCAGTTTAACCTAATTCCCAATCAATTTCCCCCTGGTGGCCATTGAGAGGACACTGGTCAAGTCACTGGAAAAGATGCCTAGTTTGTACGACAGGGTCACAGAGCATTTTCGTAGGGCAGACTTTAGGTATAAATAAATGGACAATTTTTATGTATAGGCCGAAAATGAGCTTCCCCTCTTTGAAAGACCAGCAGTCGCCACTGGAATGGAGAGAGGGTCGCCTCGTGGGGGCTTGTCGGTATACAGTTTCATCTACGCTGTCACACCATGAGACAAGCAGAGATGGCGCCTGGGGCAAATGCCACTTTGTTGGAAAGGAGCTAAGACTGTGGGAATAAAGAGAGAAAGGCATTATTTTTGGCTTGCAAATGCCATATGTTGCCTGTTGAGGGTCCACAGGCGACCTTTCCAGAGTGCCCATGGTTGAAATGAGAAAGATGACAGGTGCAGGAAATTGGTTTTAATGAGAATGAAACTATTCACCCAGCAGAAAATGCCATTCACAGGAACTGACTCCGAGGCGATAGATCGGTCATGCAAGACCAACTTGTGGAAGACATTGATTTGCCAATAGCTCGTCAATAATACATGACAACATTGACCGTTTATTGCTTTGTTGACGGATCAGGCTCTGAATAGAATAAGGCAGATGTGTCATTAAAAATCATTAGAAATTTAATCTGGCCCACCTTAATGTTTAACGCATCTCGCCTGATGAGGTTAAAGCTTGGCTGGTTAGCATTGGACCGGTTAGCCTCTCTTGTCAGATGCCATACACACCATCTGGACCCAAAAATGACCCTTTTTTCCCCAATCACTTTTCACATCACAGTTTATTTTCCTTTAGTTTTCACTTTATCGTTGTTAGGTTCCTGAGATTTCAAGTTTCAGTTCATTTAGTTTTCAATTCAGTTTTTGATAAGGAAAATCACACTGTTTGGGACTGTGTACTACCTTGTGGTGGCGTGCCATCAACGCTGTATCAGCATTGTTTTGATGTAATTCTTCTCTGGCTCCAATGCAATCAGTCACATGCGATCAGTTTGTTCAGGGATGGTTTTGTAGGGA